TTTTTTTTTTTTTTTTTTTTTTTGCAGGGTGCCGACGACCCCCGACCAGTAGGTGCCGACCAGCCGATCGGTCCGCGGGTCGGCAGCCGACCAGTCAAGGGCCGCAGACGGTCGGGGTGTGCAACACTGCTTGACAGCAAGATTGGAGGAGAAGATTGCAACTTACGAAAAGTTACGAAGTGTGTTGAATCCTATGGGCACACGCCCTGATAAATTGTTCCGGTTTAAGATGCTGCAAGGAAAACAAAAAGGCACACATCCAAGAATTTAATAGCAGGTTCCCGTTTAAGATGCTGCAAGGAAAACAAAAAGTGACACATCCAAGAATTTAATAGCAGAAAAAGCGACACGGGTTCCAGAATATGTTGGATATTAGCACTCTGTACAAATTATCCAGCACACACTTTGAGACTAATTAATGGCCATCGCTGATTTGCTGCCATTGTACCATGCTATTTGACAGATAGCTTTTGAATCAATATTCCTTGATATGGAAAGTAGTTGAACCATACAGAGTATCTTGTATAAGACTATACCAACGTTATTGTATGCATAAAACGTGTTGGTTCAGAATCAGAGCTATGGTAGAAAGTGAATAAGGTGTACATGTCATTATGTCACATGCCAAATCGGCAGCAGTCAAAACCAAGAACCGACCACTCAGAGATAATACAAAAATAGCACAGCGGAAGACTGAAATACCAGGACCTGACTCAGCAGCGACAATCATAGGACCTGACAGCCCTCATCATCACTCTGTGTGAATGGGCTCAGCACTACGATCATGGAAGGGGTGCTGAGTCCGAATCATCCACAGACGAAGGAGGGGGGAGAGACGAAAAGGGAAGAGGAGATAGGGAGGATCAGCCACCATAGCTTGATGAACCCAGTCTCCAATGTATCCCCAATGTCGCTGCTCATACAATGTCAAGTTGCAATGTCACGGAACTGGGCAATGCCCGAATGTCACCAGATCTCAATGTCAACTCTCTCTCTCTCTCTCTCTCTCTCTCTCTCTCTCTCTCTCTCTCTCTCTCTCACCTCAACAGTAGAAGGAGAAGAAGAAGAAAAGCTCCGCAAGGGAAAGGAGGAGGGGCGATGGAGGCCAGGAAAGAGGAAGGAAGAAGACAAAGAAAGGAATCCTCTTTCTCTCTCTTTGATGTATCCAGGTACTGACCTGCGGAAAGGTGGCTCCTTGATGCAGGTATGGACGTGCTGACGACGAAGCTGTAGCGATGGCGCCACAGGTAAGTCGCCAGGTAAGTCCCCTGGCCTCCACCAACCTCAACTGTGCTGCAGCCCAAGGTCGACTACTCTGACACAACGCTCAGCGCTGGAAGACTACTCCCTACCTCAGTGCTAATGCGCCGAGCCCGTCGACTACTGAAGACTACTGATGCTACCTCAGAGCTACCTGCCCAGAATGAGGCTGGCCCAGCTATATATAACGCTGGGCCTAGTGTCCTGGGCCAAAAAGGAGGAACAGTCTGGCGCCAGGAGTGAACTGGCGAAAATTCGAAAAGGAACCAGTCTGGCACCAAAAGCAGTAAACTGGAGAAATACGAAAAGGAAACCAGTCTGGCGCCAAAAGCAGTGAACTGGCGAAAATACGAAAAGGAACCCAGTCTGGAGCCAAAGGCAGTGAACCGTCAAAAGTACGAAAAGGAACCCAGTCTGGCGCCAAAGGCAGTAAACTGGAGAAAAGGAAACCACTCTACTGGGTCGGTAATGATCCTACCCTAATCTACTAACCTATGGGCCTCTACCCGTGGCATGCCACACATTATGAGACATACCTTTTTTGGATCGTCGTGTGAGAGTTCAAAGCATTCGAAGGGAATCGACAGGACAACAAAGTGGTTAGCAAACCATATTGGTAGACACTGAATATGTGTAAACACTGTAAAGTCACATGTCAAAAATATGGAAGAGACAAAAGTCATGGAAGTCAATTGGATGTGAGAAATCACCCAATCATAGTTTGTTCCCAGAAGAAGTGCAAGGAAATACATCAGGAGGCGCATTTGAAGTATGAACTCTTTGAGTGCCAGGGATGCTCCCTCTCTTACTGCTACCTGATAACATTGTGAGTGTATGACTGTGTAATCAGTGTGTATCCAAAAAAAAAGAAAAAGAAAAAAAAAAGCAGTAGCTCATGAATCAACCACTTCTCACTGGATGTCTTCTTTTTTTTCTTTTTTTTTTAATTATTATTATTATTATTAATAAAACAGGTCCTTATGGCCCTGGCTCCATTTCCATTCTGGGGAGCAAGTCAGGAAAAATTAATACATCATAGATCATAGAACTCCCTCATGCTTCCTTCTGTCAGGCCGAAGGAACCCTGAACAGCATTGATTACTCCAACATCGTGGAGGATTGACTGTCAGTTTGTCCAGCTTCCACCTTTCCTCTCAGGACTGCTATAAGCACCTGTCAGATAAAACATGAATAGCAAGAAAGGTCTGGGAAATTACAACTGCTGCCAATTCTGTCCAAACCCTAAAACCTGCATACGAGCCTCATGAAATTCCTAGCATTCTAACCCCTGCTTGTCTTGTTTCTGTCTAATCCCTAACCCTAAACCCTAAACCATAACCAAGATTAATCTATTTTTTCCATCTGTTCCATGTGAAACATCGGCTGCCGCCTATCGTGCGTGTATCTTGGATGCTCTTCTAGGCCCAGATTGGAGATGGTTCCTCGTGTACCTGGGTATTCTGCTGGCCTACAGACTTGACAGAATTGTGCCACTCTTTCCACCTTAAAACGTGCCCATTTAGCCATGCCACTTTGTCACCTACCAACCAGACCCGCTTGAATTTGGCAAGCGCCACCTGTTCTGTCTCTGGACTGTTCTGCACCCAGAGTTTAACCTTCCTCAAATGACAGAGGATTTCCGCTGCAATCATCTCTTTGGTTGCCGCCCACACTTTCTCCCGTGGGTTCTTCGTGCCATCCAGTGTTCTGCTGCATCTCTCCTTCCATATGGCCCATAGCGTGACCTTGCGCACTGGATGTCCGATTTTTTCTCCAGATCCGTTTGCTCTCTCCTCTCTTTCTCTCCCTCTGTGCATGGCTCGTTGTCTTCCCATGTATGGATCACTCACTCCAATGTAGTGTTGAGTGTCCACGTGTGCCCGTCTGTCTCTGATGTTGAGCTATGACGCCCTGATCTCTAATTCTGTCCCAGTTGTTTACAGCCCAAATAAGCAGAACTATGTCCGTGAAGAGCAGATGATGCTGTGGCTATTTTGTAGTCATCGAAACTGTGGGTGTCCTTGAACCCCTGGCGATTATACTCAATGAACAGCGCAGCCTTGAGAGCACTCCATTCGGTGCTGTTGTCCATGTTGCCTGCCATCACTGCACTTATCTGCTGCAACCTGTACTCAACATCAATGGTGGTGAGAGCAGAAAGTGCAGCATTTTGTAGCATGCTGAGGCCTGCACATGGGCCCCGTTTCGGGGGCCCGGCAGTTGCTGAGGGCCCCCAGGCCGCACGCCATTTTAGACGCACGACCTGAAGGCCCATGGCCATTTATCCAGGCCAGGCACGTTTTCTGTGCCACGCAGGTCCCCTTCTGATTCAGCATTCATTTATTTATTTGCTGGGTCTCCAGTCTGGTCTATTTTTGTCTGGCCCAGTGGTGTCATTTTCGGACTTTCCACTTTGTCTGAACATCCGAACAGACTAGTGTCTGTTCGGACCTCTGGACCACATTTAGGTCCAGGTAGACCAGGTTCGTGTCCGTCCTGTAGTGAGGGAGTCCTGCTGCATCAGCAGGATCGCCTGGACATCCGGTAGGGACCCATGCAGGCCGTTTTGAGGCCAGGTTGCTGGTCCAGGACTCGGGCCTGTGATCAGGACCATCGATCGGATACTAGATCCGATGGTCTGCGACAACCAGATCTGGAGGAAAATTCAAACAACGAAGGCAAAAACTCTTTTTGGGAACAGCTCCTACACACATGAAAGAAAATCTTCCCAGAAAACAAGCTTGGCTCCAAAAGGAAAGACGAGGTGCTTAAGCAACCCATTTTCGGCAATCCCTAGATCAAGGACGGAAAGGGTGATAGTTTCTCTCTCACCAAAGCCGACACCAAATGGGGATACAGGCTGGAAAAGGGAATATGGCAAATCCAACACATATGGAACGAATCGTCCAACAGCTAGAAATCCGAAAAGGACCTAAGCCCCATACTGAAAGGAAGTCACAACCTACAGGCAATCATATCGCTGATAATCGGCATCATCCCGATGGAATGGCGCCGACTACTAATGTCTAATGTCGGAACAAAAATGGATCCCGGGAGACTGGGTGGCATATACAGTACTAGCAACCAATCATGAAGTTCTAAGAACCATAAATTACGACAACCACAACAACAAATGGATATGCTGTAGTATCTTCCCATCAGAGGACCCAGGAATTCCTGTATTTTCTTGAGCGTGGAAAGCAGAGCTGAGGCATCCTTTAAAATTAACAACCTCAGAAGAATTAGGGTTATAGAAGGAGACAGGAACAGGGTCTACAAGCCTGAATCTGACCTTCAACACCTGGAAATTGATCCCATGGAATGGTCTTGGAGCACACCCGATGGTGTCACCAGAATATCATGAAGCGTCGAAAGACACAAAATAACCGACTACACCTAAACTAGGGTATAAGTTGTTCTCCAAACCCAAACCCATTATACTATCCTCCCTAATACAGAAAAGATGGCAGAAGGAAGAAATCACCCTCGCGAATGCAGTCTTCAAACCAGCCTAGCCACCAATCTTCTACGCTGGACCATTCTTGCCAGCCTACTATGGCACATAACATTCAGGGTGCTTTCGGTAAACTCTTGGCTTGCAGAAAGAAGAAGGAAGGACAACAGGTCTGAACAGGCAACTTGGTGCAAAGTCTGAAATTCCCAAGCCGTAGAGTCTCTTAACCACTGCTTCTTGGAATGTGAGAAAGCCCTAAGACTTTGGCACAAAAATAGAACTAACATGGAATAAATAGTAAATACCCAGTCAAATTCAACCCCGGCACGCTCTACCTAGACATAGAGCAACCCACCCTCCTCACAGGGTTCCATCTATTCATTTTTCCCCAAATAAGGGAAGTGGCCCTTTGGGCTATCTGGAAAAGAAGATGTGAACGGACCTTTGAAGATCAACTTACTAACACAGCGAATCCGGGCTCATCGTTATAAAACAACTGATAGAAAGTTAGAAACTGAAATCCACATACTATGGAAGAAAACCCAATCCCAGATACAAACTTCCCGGATAAGAAACTTGAGATCAGCAATAGATTCACCATACTAAGATCGGGGAATGGCAACTTAGGCACAATAATATTAAAGGATTGCCTAATTCTCCCTGTGCAAAACTGTCAGCATCTCATGAACCCCTCTCCAGCAGCACAGACCTCACACCCACCTCAACAGGATTCCATCTTACACCACAGTCCTTGTAACAGATTCAAGCCAGCCCCAGAAAGACAACAAAATTCTGCAGGCAGAAGCTAGGACAGATCGATAAAGGTACAGAGCTCCAGTTCCACCCACAAGCATCTCAGGCACCAAACAGCTGAGAGGAGCATAGCTTTTGAAATTTAAAGTCTCTACGGAAGTTCTGATCTAGCTTCAAGAACAGTACAGCACCGATAGGTGTCAAGCAGCAAGGGTAATAGTAGCATCAGGGCTAACTTTGGCAGGGCTGACGAGAGGTACATCCTTCCAGACTGGAAGTAATCAATGTCGTCCCTTGGGTCTCCCAGCCATTATGGGGAGAAGCATTTTCGAGTGTGTTGTAACCTGTATTTCTGACTTGCCGGTGGAATAGGAACCGGACTGACGCTCCCCAGAATCGACAAGGAGCCAGAGCCATAAGCTTCTGTTACAACTTTAAACTGTTTTGGTAAAAAAGAAAAGAAAAAGAAAAAGAAAAAAGAAAAAAAAGATGTTGTAATGATTGGATCTTCCCTTTCAATTGGAAGTTGACCACGGATCATAGCGATTCATAGCATACCACATTATACAAGCCGGTGTGGTGTGGTATACAGGAGGAAAGGAATAGTAAGGAACTCAGTTGAAGGGAGAAGGGTGAAATGGCATCAAACTTACAGATCCAGCAGTGAACCATTTGGAGCACTTATTTCCAAAAGACTGTCCGGTATAGGTCCTGTGAGCTGATTGTAGCTGAGATTCCTGGTACAAATATAGCAAGCCAGAGAAAATCAGAACCAACAAAACCCTAGGATGAATGCACTTGATATCCCGGATAACTATGGATGATCTATGTGCAAATAAAAAACAGGTAAAATGGTCAATAAGCCCACAAAGTTTGTTGAGTTTGGAAGCAAGTCCCCGCAAGACGCCCCAAAATAAGTTCTAGCAGCACCAATCTGTCAAAGCATCGCTGGCAGGACCTGCAGAGTCATCAATAATGCCCTAGTCGAGTCCTAGCCTTATTTACTCGCATGAGAGAGAGAGAGAGAGAGAGAGAGAGAGAGAGAGAGAGAGAGAGAGAGAGAGAGAGAGAGAGAGAGAGAGAGAGAGAGAGAGNAGAGAGAGAGAGAGAGAGAGAGAGAGAGAGAGAGAGAGAGAGAGAGAGAGAGAGAGAGAGAGGTTCTTTTTATTCTTCTTTGTCTTGCCACCCTCCATATTTACCTCCTCTCTTCCACTTCTATTGAGAGAGGGAGTCGGTGGCATTACTCTCAGACTCAGATTCGACATTGGACTCACTGCTCAGGGTAAGTCAGCTGTGATGTTGATTCATCTGTCACTAGCTGGCACAAGCTCTGCCTCTTCCAGTGGCTGGCAAGGTGGGCATTGAGGGCCATGACAGCCAGGCTAAGAAGGATGAGACAGGCACAATACCTCTTAGTAGGTGGTCATGGCCTCCCTGGAGTTATCTGGCCGACATTGCGGTGGCCATACCCAGTCTGAGATTTGCCTCGCCAGATAAATTTATCTGGTCTAGCTGGATGAGTCTATCTGGCCCTGCAAAAAATAGAAGAGGACTGGCTTACTTTTCAAAAATAAAAAAGAAATGGAAAACATAAAGAACAAAAAGGTGTAGACGACTGCATTCCAAATAACTTGGCCATCGCCACAGAAGGCCTGAATTATCATCATTTGTGAGAAAACCCAAAGGCCTTTCTAACCAGACGTGCCGCCAATCCATAGGGTGCAGAAGGGAAAAAAACACCATGAAATTGTGAGGCAAACGTGCACTCTCATGCAAAATTTGCCTCAACAGAAGTTTCAGAAATGTGACCTTCATCCGTTAAAATTGGAAAGATACAGAGAAGATTAGCATGGCCCCTGCGCATTAAAATAAAAAAGAAGAAAAAAAAAACAATCAGAAATGTCAACACAGGTATTTCCAATAGTCCAAAAGTCACCAAATTTGGCACACAGCCACCTTAAACAACAACAGGCAAAACAAAGAGAATTGAAAAAACAAAAAAAAAAAAGGAACCCCAAACCTAGGTTGTTTTTTTTTCCTGCCCGGCCGGGCAACTGGACAACTTGCTCAGGGGATATGTTGCCTAGGGTGCCCGGACACCTAGGCCGGCAGAGTGACCCGGGGCAACTTTTCCAGCTGGACCAATATATATATATATATATTATACACCAACCACTCCCCTCAATGTACCTGTGACTCACCCAGATGGAAAACTCTACAGACTGTCAGCTCACAACCCATCAGAAGCCAGCAAAACACCCACAAAATAAAGAAAGGTCTGTCACAGCCAAAAAATACACTCCAGACACGCCGCTGGCACTAGAGGCACAGCCGACCTCAGGGTATCAGTTGTTGGGCAGTTGTTGATGCTTAACCACAACCGGGGTTAAGGTGGATTATCACTTACAGTGTGATCAGTTAGGGGATTCTGCAGACTGTTGAGGGTTCAGCCTCCTGATGAGTCGGTGAAACCCCGACGAATATCGCTGAGCAGCTTGGGGATCATGTTGACGAATGTCATCAATAAAGCGTGCTTCATCCCAATAGAGCGTTAGATTGGAGATTTCTGGGCCAGCATTTGTTCCCATTGGAATACCAATGATTTGCTTTCGAAGAGTACCATCTCTAGTGTACGCACTCGCTCTCGTCCTTCAATCCGCACCATTCATGAACGGCCTCCTCACAAACCCTTGGCTAGCACAACGGCTACTTCGTCCTATCTCAGCACTGCTTTGCAAGGCGTGATCTCTACTCTTCGTGAGAAAGACATTGATCTCTATCAACAGGAAGGTGTTCGACGGTGCTGGATCSTCCAGAGTGCCGATGAGGTGGCGATTAACCTGAAAAACAATGTGTCCTCTCTACGTGGCCTCTCTCCTCGCACGGTTGATTTCACCACAATGTACACCAACCTTCCTCATGACCGCATTTTGAATAATGTGTTGATGAAGCTCATGCTTATGCCCTTCAGCATACCCGCATGCATTCGCGCTGCAGAGCCTTGAACATGTTTATTCGCGGGCCTTGCTCTGACCAATGGACAACCGATTCAGGACCGGACAGCCTTTCCGTTTCTCAGATTCTCCAACATCTTCGCTTTGTTGTAGAAAATACTTTTCTGTACAGTAGAGATGGTACTCTTCCAAAACAAATCATTGGTATTCCAATGGGAACAAATGCTGGCCTATAAATCTCCAATCTAACGCTCTATTGGGATGAAGCACGCTTTATTGATGACATTCGTCAACATGATCCCCAAGCTGCTCAGCGATACGCCTTCACTTAYCGCCTCATTGATGATGTTCTTTCATGGGGCCAATTACCTCCTCCTTCAGAGCACTATGGGCTCGAGTGGAAAGAAACTACGGCTACAGATGGCTCGTGTACCTTTTTAGGTATGCATCTACGGGTACGTTCGGATGGTTCGCTTCGCATGAGCGTGTTTGATAAAGCGCCTGCTTGGGATTTCCCTCTTATTCGCTATCCAAGTGCTACCTCCAACATCCCTTCCCATCAACCGGCAGGTGTGTTCACTGGGCAATTGACCAGATTTGAACGCATCTGCAATAATTGGCAGGACTTCCGAACTGCAGCGACAACACTCACTCGTCGCATGCTTTCTCGTGGCCATTCCCCACCAACCCTCGCTAAAGGATAAACCTGCTATACACGCTCCTGCCAACGTCGCGATCCTACACACGTCACCCGTCTCTCTCAGTGGTTCCGACGCATGCTGCGATGGTCCTTACATCACCCACTTTCTTCTTTATCCCCACATCGCTCTCGTCCTGTCACTGCTTGTTCATTTGCTGCTAATGCAGTTCCCACTGTTGCGGTTCCCACCGCCGCCGCTTCCACCGCTGTGGTCTCCACTGCTGCAGTTTCTACTGTGCTGTTTCAACTCCGGGTTTCACTCCAGCAGTTTCTGCTACGGAAGTTGCCTCCACTGCAGTCCCTGCTACGGAAGTTGCCTCTGCTGCGGTTCCTGCTACAATAGTTGTCTCTGCTGCGGTTCCACTTTTTACCACTTCCTCTGCTTCTGTAGCTCGAATTTCTCATGCTATAGTTTTCACTGGTATAGCTTCCTCTACCCCAGCCCGACACTCGCGTCCTATGTTCCGACTCCTGCCCAATCCACCCCCCTTTCATCCCTTTCTGTGCTTGGCCGCAGACGGCTGCGTTCCTCCTCGTCACCCCCATCTCCTCCACGGTCTCGTTTGAGAACCGATTTTCCGGTTTCTATTCTTCCCATTGTTCCGTCTTCATTCCTAGTGACATCCTCATCTTCTGTTAGAAACATCGCCACTCCTCTTATTGTGTATCATCGTCGACGACATGCACAACATCGCCACTTGGCCAGGGATCAGCAGCCTGCTTCTTTGTCTACCCCAATTTTCTCTGTGCCTCCTCCACAGGTTGTTGAGGTTCCGTTGTCCCAAACGGATACATCCGCTCCTATGCCTCCTGCAGACAGTCCAACTGCTTGCACACAGCCACAACACCATGTTTTATGCCCTTCCATGTTCGTTTGTCCCCCAACTGTACAACACGCGGCCCCGAACGCTGAGGGCCTGGAACATGATCAGCTCGGACTGCATTTAACCCCGCAAGGCATAGACCACACGGGGGATTTGCAAATGGCTGACCAGGATCATATGGATGAACCGCATACTTGTGCCCCACCCTGTGTGGCCCCGAACGCTGAGGGACTGGAACATGATCTGCTTGGACTGCATTTAATCCCACATGGCGCAGACCCCACGAGGGATTTGCAAATGGCTGACCAGGATCATATGGATGAACCACATWCTTGTGCACCACCCTGCGCAGACCCCACGGGTGATCTACAAATGACTGACCAACCAAACCAGCCTGAGATCCCCGCCTCTCTGTGGTCTGACTGCAACTAATAGCTGCCTTCACATTTTCAATCGGTCGTTTTATACACCATCAGATTTCCTTGCAATTGCCCTACAGCTTGATGTTGATCTAGCTAATCTCGCTGATCCCCCCGACCTACAGCCAGATCATCATAATTACACCAGGGAAGGAGGTTTTACCATTGCTGTCCTAGAAATAGCGATGAGGAACCACCAGCTTGAACTACGCCATGCTCTACCAGGTGAGTTGTTTAATCCTCCATCCCACATCTTTGCCTGCATTGTGCACGGGCCAGGCCATTACATGGCTATTGTACACGCCTCTGACCATTGGCAGGTGTGGAACAACGGTGTCATGGTCCATGCCATGATTGATATTACTGATTTCTTACTCTATGATGCTGTTCTCTTGCCACATCACATTGTAAGGATGGGGTGGATGAGCGCATGGAAGACCTAACTCARCATTCTCAAAACAACAACTGCCACGAAGGCTGGCATTAAGCATGCCAACCATACATTCCTCACAAATAGCATGTCTATTGCAGGCCAGAATAAAGGAAGAACGCCCCCCACAAAAGAGCATGCATTCAGCATAGCGTCCGTGGCCACAAAATGGACATATAGTGTCCGGATGAGGAGGGTGCCTGCACTCCGTATTCTCCCTCTTCCATTCTTTGTTTGTCCTCTCTCTGTCTCTTTTCCCCGTGTTTAACACCTTCCCCTTCACTCTGCCTCTCTCACAGBGTGCAAGTGGGCTGTTATGGCATACGGGGATGGGGGCAGCTCGCACTCAACTTCATCAACGTGGCGAGCCTTGCACGTGAGAGGCACAGTGGAGGTGGAGTCCAAAGAAG